CTTTGCAATCACTTGTTATGCATCAGAGAGTTGGACAATGACTAGGGAGGATAGAAGGAGAATTGATGCCTTTGAGCTGTGGTGCTGGAGAAGAGCATTGCACGTACCATGGACTGCCAAGAAAACAAAAAGATTCATCCTGAAGAGGGTTAAATCAGGCTGCTCCTTGCAGGCAAGGATTCTGGGGCTTGGTCTGACATAATTTGGACATGTTGTAAGGAGGGAGAAGTCCTTGGAGAAGGACATCATGCTTGGGAGGATGGAGGGACGGTGCAGGAGGGGAAGACCCTCCATGAGGTGGATTGATTCAGTGACTGGGGTAATCGGGATAGGTGTGTCAGAGGCAATGCGATTGGCACAGGATAGAGCAGGGCTTAGGGCTTTTGTACATAGGGTCATTATGAGTCTCAGATGACAAGACGGCACATAACAACAACATAGCCATAAATACTTCATTCAGAAACCTTGCACAAGAACTAGTTTTTCATTAGTCCTATACCACCTTGGCAACTGTTAAGCAAAATATAAAGCAAAATAATTTTATAAAACCTTAGTCTTAAAGTTAGTATCTGATTGAAAAGGGCTGAGAGAACTGTCTTTACATTTCTTTATTAAATAAAGCAAGTAACTCTCAAGATGATCTCTCAGGTTTTAAAACATGTGCCTTCTTTTTTCCCCTCACTGAAACAGCTTTGTTGCTGTTGATGGTTTTTAGGTGCCATTGAGTCGGCTACAACTCCTGGCGAACCTATGAGCAACAGCTCTGAATCTTGCCCTATCTTGTACCATCGTCACGGTCCCTGATAGGCTCAAGTCCACCATTAGTCACTATGTATATCCATCTTGTTGAAGATCTTCTTTCCTGATCACCCTTCACTTTTCCTGGCATGATGTCTTTTCTAAGGATGGATTCCTCCTGGCAGCATGCCAAAGTTGCTTGGTGGGGTCCCAAAACTACAGCCACCCACAATTACTGTCAGTAAACACAAATGAGGACATGAACGAGAAGTTATGGATTGTTAAAGTGAGCCGTCAAGTAGTAATTGACTACGTAATCCTTTGCTAGTCAATGGGGACACTCCATGGGGTTAGAACCGAGAACTCTCCAATAATCTCTGCCTCCTACATCTTTTGTGCCTCCTGAGTATGCTTCCAACTTTCTCTTCCCTGTCATTTCTTTGGCCTAAGATGTTCTTCCACTCAACTCACCCTCATACTCCTCTCTGTCTTCTTCCTGCTCAGTGGATTCTTCTCCTGCACCAGTCATCTATGGCCCCTTGTCTTCTTCTGCCTCCCTGGACTCCATATACACCTGGGCTGCCTGCTGTAAATCGGTAAGTGGCAATAACTGGCTCTAAGTTGCAGGGGAGATCCCAAATCGAAATCACTTAGGAATCTCATTGGTTAAATAGCCTTGTTGTGGTGCAAAACATTTACACTGAAATGCTAATCTACATGTTTAGACCCTGCTAAGCAGCACCACAGAAGACAGGCCTGGCAGTCTGTTTCTGTCAAGATTATAGCAAGCAAACGCTATAGAGTGAGCAGTTCTACTCTGTAACGCATGGGCTTGTCATGAATCAGACCTGACTCCATAGCAACTAGTGACAATAACAAATGACTGACTTCAGTCCAGCCATGTGGCATCATGAAATACAGAGGTGGAGACAGGAGCACAGGACCCAGGATTTCCACCAGGCAGACACGATAGTTCCAAACAAGTCAAAAGCATGGCAAAGTGTAGTAAAACAATCAGGAAATGGTGAGCTCTGCTAGCACCCTTGTTTTTCCTATAATTTCTTTAATTGCATGTCAGTGTAGTTTCTTTTTAAAGGATGTCTGTGTTTACAATCAGCTCACAAAGTTCCTGAAAAATCTAACAGTTGACTTTCTTGAGTCAGCGTGAGCAGCTCCAGCTTCCTCCTGGCTACTGCCTTCTCCAGAATCTGGTCTTGAGCAAGCCCTGCCCCTCAGTCCCTCACTGCCTACACAGACAGTTCCATAGCCCTCCCTGTCCAGAGTCAAAACAGAAATGGAACTGAAACTACATGAAAACATCTGATAAGTAAAAGAGTCAGGGAAGAGCTGTTCATGGGATCAAAATATATGCATTCCTAGCCTCATAAAAAACTAAACCCATGCATACAATGACTTCCAAGGAGGCGAGGAATGGCAAATGCTGACAGTGACATGTGAGTTTCCTAAGGTGCCATGAAGAACAGACATGGAAGTGCTCAGCTGAAATGTAGGAAAATTGAGTCTTGATTCCAGTTCTGGCAGCCTCGTAGGTTTATTGTGGTATTGTCAACTGTTCCAGCCACTTCAGGAGGAGAAAGATGGGAATCTTCTCTGAAATGTAGGCTCTGAAACCCACTGAAGGGTCAACTATGAGTAAGTTCTGATGCATTGGCACATAACAACTATTCATAACTATCTTGGTAAACATCAACCACGTATTCAGTAATTGTTGTTGTTGTGTACAATAGACTCAGAACTGACACATAGCTGACCCTCCAGTGGGTTTTCAAAGACAGTTAATCCACCTTCTCTGGTGGAGCAGCTAGTGGCCTCGAATCATGTGCCTTTGGGATTGCAGCACAGCTTTTTTGTTTGTTCGTTACCATATTAAATTTTATTTTTTTAAATTTCCATTCATTCATTCATTCATTGTTGCACTTTTCTCCCCTCCTCCCCCCAGTACACTACCCTCCTGGAAAAGTAAAAACAATACTTTCATTGTTTTACAAACCCTCCCCCAGGTCCACTCCACCAAGCAGCCTTTGCTTTGGACTCCTGTCATGACAAAAATACCTAACCACATATCCCTTTTAAACAGATTTCTCCCTCATCTGTTTCAATGCAGTTTACGTTATTGAACTCATCTTTCTTAGTCTCCCCGCAAACCCAAGGTCAGTCCTGTTTTACAACAGTAGCACCATGCAGTATTTGTCCTTTCATGACTGAGATACTTCACTCAGCATAATGTCCTCCAGGGTCACCCATTTTGAATAATTTTGCATGAGTTCCTTGTTTTTCAATGCAGCACAGCTTTTTTCCACTAAGCCAGCAGAAGAGCAATAATATAGGAGTTCTGGTGGCCTAGTCCATGGGAAATTGCACTACTAACCCAAAGGCCATGCCTCTCTGGAGGTTCAAATGCACCAGCCACTCTATAGGATAAAGATGGCAGCCTCTTTCTGTGTGATTTACAGCTTCAGAAATTCACTGGAGGGTCAACTACGAGTCAGTTCTCATTTGACAACAATGAATTTGGAGATACAAACGTGATGGCTTAGGGGAGGCACAAACGCTAATCCAAAGGTCAGTGGTTCGACTCAGCAGTGCTGCAGAAGATAGATCTCGAGGTCAAAAGCAGCAAACAAACCATCATGGAGTTCAGTCCTACTCAGGATACACGGCTTGTTAGGGTTAGAATCAACATGATGACAACTAACAACAGTAACACATACGTGTGAAAATAAAGGCAGAGAGTCAGAATGTGAGACCTCTTACACTTTTTAAGACTTTTCCTCATCACATCAAAATGCTTCTTTTTGTGAAAGTAGATTCTGTATAATTAAACTTTGAAAGAGAAAAATGAGATCCTTGACTCAAAAACCTCTATTCATTAGATGAAGCATTTACTTGAATATAGTCACTCTAGCTACCACACACATTCAGCAGAGTATTTTAGAAGTATTCAGCAAAATGACTTTCTTTCCAATTAGATGCTATTTATATATGTAATATTTAATTTTAACATAATACAATTCCACTTAATAATATAGGCTGTAACATGGAAAAAAATGGATTCAATCAAGAGGGGAATTATTGAATATAAAATATTGTATACATACTGGAAAGAAAGAATATTTATTTATATATAGGGATTGTGTGAGATGCATTTCTAAGTGAAAAGATAGGTTACTCCATAATATATATAAAATCTTATGTGTTATGTGTATTGTTTGTATATGCTTAGAAAATTTTGCAGTTATACAGAAGTAAAATTAAAAATTAAGTCAGGGCAACTGAGGTGGAGCTTTCATGTACGGAAATACAAAGGAAGAGGAACAGTTGTAAGCAGACACTAGTGATTAGGACATGGAATGTGAGAACCATGAATGTAGGAAAGTTGGATATTGTTAAGGAAGAAATGAAATGCATAAATATTGACATACTAGGCATTGGTGAGATGAGATGGATTGGCATGGGGCGTTTTAAGTCAGATGATCATATATTACTCTGGAGATGAAAAGGTGAGGAAAAATGGAGTTGCTTTCATAGTTAAGAAAGTAATTTCTAGATCCATCTTGAAGTACAATATTGTGAGTGACAGGATAATATCCTTATGCATACAAGGAAGGCCAGTGAATACAACTATCATTCATATATATGCACCAACAACCAGAGCCAAGGAAGAGGAAATAGAAGACTTTTACCAACTTTTACAGTCAGAGATCAATTGAACATTCAATCAAGATGCATTGATAATAATGGTTGACTGGAATGCAAAAGTTGGGGACAGAAAAGAAGATTTAGTAGTTGGAAAACATGGGCTCAGTGACAGAAATGGAGCTGGAGAGAGAATGATTCAATTTTGCACAATCAATGACTTATTCATTGCAAATATTTTTTAAGAGACATAAATGCAGGATATATACATGGATTTCACCTGATCGTATGCATAAGAATCAGATTGATTACATCTGTAGAAAGAATCACTGGATTCAAGCTGAAGCTGAGGAAAATTAAACCAAATCCACGAGAACCAAAATATGTGATTCTATACTACCTGCATTTCAGAACCATCTCAGGAACAGGTTTGAGGCCTCCAGATGAGTTGTGGGAGGATATCAAGGGTATCATCCAGGAAGAGTGCAAACAGTCATTGCAAAGTCAGAAGGGGAAGAGAAGACCAAAATGGATGTCAGAAGAGAGTCTGAAAATTGCAGTGGAGCACAGAGAAGCCAGTTGAACATAAGATTTCAAAAGGCAGCACGGGATGACAAAGTAAAATATTACAATGAAATGTGCAAGGAGTTGGAGTCAGAAAATCAGAAGGGCCAAACTCGCTCAGCATTTATTAAGCTCAAGGAACTGAAGACCAAATTCAAACCTCGAGTTGCTATAGTCAAGGATGCTTTAGGAAGATTATTAAATGATCCAAGAAGTATTAAAAGAAGATGGAAAGAGTACACTGAGTCACTGTATTAAAAGGAATTGGCAGACACAGAAGAATTTCATGAAACAACATATGAGCAAGAGCCTATAGTGATGAAGAAGTTCAGACTGCTTTTAAGGAAATGGCAAAAAATAAGGC